GTCTTCCCCCAACCCCAGGGCTGAATGTTTTCCCATTTATATGTTTACTTTTTAAGGATTACAGTATCGGCTGAATGTTTTCCCATTTACTGTATATGTTTACTTTTTAAGGATTACAGTATATACTTTCTTACAAGGTGTAATCTTCTTAATGTGTAATTGCTGTACAGTGATTTGTTTTGTTGTCATGTGAGCAACAAAAGGATGTGCTTGCTCGGTGTGAAAAGTATACCTCATGGTGAGAATCATCCTGTGTTTGGGTAAGTTTCCCAAGTCACATGATCTCTTCAAGGGTGTTAATGATTTCAAATAGCCTTCACAGAGCAGCGACAACTTCAAGGAGATGAAAAGAATAATGTTGAAAATCTTTGTGTACATGAGCTTTAAAAATGTGGGGCTTCGATAATGTACAACAAAGAGAGAGAGTGAAAATTCAAACATAGGGCAGTGAGGGAATGTGTGATGTTGGCACGTTGGGGCTTGGGATGGGTGGGAAAGGCACACATGTGTTTTTTGCTTGGAAGACCTGAAAGTCATACAGTATAGTGTTCTTGACTTAGTTCATTAGCACTTCCAAATAAGTTTTGAGAATGAGAATTTGTTACATAAAACTAGATGGGAGATGACAAAATGTAGAAGTGATTTCTGGGATTTTGAAAAAAAAATATGCAGTGTGCTCTGATGTTTTAATGACATAAATAAACTCAGGAAAGGCTCACATAGATAAACAAATGTGAATTGAGATGCTTGTACTGTATACATAAACAAACAGTTCTCCACCTTTGCCATCAGTGATACAGAATACTTATACCAAATAGTCCCTTCCCTTGCCACACATTCCCCACTCTCAGTTTCATTGATATGGAATGTTTATGCTATATATATTAATGGTACGTGAGGACCAGAAGAGGTAACTTCTGCAAGAAAGAGTAATAACGTGTTCTGGCAGATCTAAGAAAACTGAAATACTGATATTTGGTATGTATGTTGAAGTTACTGGCAAAAATCCTGTTCTGTACATTACATCTGTGTAAGGGTGATGACATCACCTGCAGGGGGAGCTCTTTAATTATTAAGAGTCCTTGCATTTGTCCTGCAGCTTGTGGGACTTGTATATTATCAGTGCCTTTGTGTGTGAGCCCCAGGATGGAAGCAGGAACTCTTTCATTAATGAAAATTTCCCCCGGCTGGTAGGGGAGATGACTGGTAATTGGTGAGCTCCTAATCCTGTCCCAGATCTTGCATGGCTCACACAAAATGGGACTGCACACAACCGTGACAAGCCATGGGACATAAGGAAGAATTCTTGGTTCTCCCCCTGCTGCTGATATTGTTGCCCTGACAGCACAGGATTTTGGCCAATAGTTCCAGAACAAGGTACAGTATTTCTAAATCACAATTAAGTGGCATTATTTTAGTGTCCCTTCAGAATTTGTACTCACATCTTTATTGTACTGCTGGTCTCCAAACATTTTAAGTAATCAGGCTGTAAAGAAAAATTATTCCTATTATGCAGATGAGAAGCAAAACTGGGGAGCCAGGGTGAGAACAAAGATTGAGTTTGAGCCTTTGCTTTCAATTTTCTAGCCATGTCTGCTTAACTTTGGCACCTACTCAGCATTGCACAGGTTTGCCAGAATCCTGTTGAAAAGTGGATAGCCTGCACATTTTTAAAAATGCTGAGATATAGAACCAGAATCATATTCTGTGCATCTTATGCCTTTCCTCTGTTGGTTCTGTTCCTATCTCTTTGCCTGCCTGCTCTGTCTGGAAAGGTTGTGCTTTTAATTCCTGGGTTGGAGGGGGGGGTGGAATTGAAATATTGATGTGTCATGTCACTGCCAAAATGTTACTGGGTAAGAGCATGGGAACCTTTGTAGTGAGCAGTGCAGAATAGGAGTGTTTTTGTTTTTCCTTTGGCCATCTCATGAGAAGCGAAGACTCCCTGGAAAAGCCCCTGATGTTGGGAAAGTGTGAGGGCAAGAGGAGAAGGGGACGTCAGAGGACGAGATGGTTGGACAGTGTCATTGAAGCTATCAACATGAATTTGACCCAACTCTAGGAGGCAGTGGAAGACAGGAGGGCTTGACGTGCTCAGGTCCATGGGGTCACAAAGAGTCACACATGACTTAACGACTAAACAATAACAACAACAAGCTGGCTTGACTGGATTAGCTGCCCAGAGTAGACATGTGTCTAAATGGGCGGGGTATAAAGGTAATAAATAAATAAATAATTACTATATCCTGTAGTCACTAGGGATGGTGGTCAAATTAAAGCATCATCAGTATGCTGTTGCTACTGAGGCTGGAGTACTGTGACACATTCTACAAGGAGCTGTCTTTTAAAATGGTCATAAATATTCATTCTTGCAAAGTATGTTAGCTGGATTACTTTTTGTAACTTGCTGTACTAAGTTTCCACTTTACTGGTTTTTCAGTTCAAGTCCTGGCTCTTCCCTACAAACCCCAAACAGTTTCAATATACTTCAAAGAGTGTTTCTTCCCATATGATGCTACCACCCATTCAACTTTGGACCCACCACTTTCAGAAACATGATTGGTTGTGATGTGAAACAGAACCTTTTCCATTGTAACTAAGACCTTTTTATTTTGCTAGACTTTTAATGTAAAGTTTTGACTCCATAGTTTTAGTAGTGTTCTAGCCTATTCTAAGGCTATGATTTTGGTTTTAGAACTTCCTAGGTTGCATTTCTTGTTGTACTGATTGTTTTCAAGTGTTGATCTGTTTATAAAGTAGAGTATAATATAAATTTCTAAAATAAGATATTCCATTCCTACGCAAAACTGACCTCCGACTGGGACACAAGGTCTACAGAAAACCCACCCACACAGACAGGTACCTACACAAAAACTCCAAACACCACCCACGGCAAAAAAGAGGCATAATCAAAACACTGGTAGACGGTGCAAATCGGAACTGTGAAGCTCAGTTTCTCAACACTGAACTCGACCACCTGAATTGGGCCCTACAGGCAAATGGCTACTCCAAAAATGAAATCACAAGAGCCATCAAACAAAGAAAACAACACCGAACTGAAGAAGAAAAACAGCCACCCACAAACAAAGTATTTCTGCCGTACATCAAAGGGGTCACAGACCGCATGGGGAAACTTCTGGAAAAACACAACTTACAAACAGTATTCAAGCCCACCACAAAAATACAACAAATGTTACGGTCAGCAAAGGACAGAAGGGACCCCCTCACCACTGCAGGAGTATACCGGATACCTTGCAGTTGTGGCCAGGTATACATTGGAACCACAAAACGAAGCATCCACACCAGAATCAAAGAACATGAGAGACACTGCAGACTAAAACAACCAGAAAAATCTGCAGTAGCTCACCCAAGTACAGGTGTTCACCGGCACTCTGTTCAAGTCCCTGGTTTTTTTTTAATGGACCAGTTTTGCACAAGGACAAAACACATCTGAACAAAAACACAGAGTGCAAAAGGTCAACAAACTCCACCCAGCCACAAGGTCAGGGGATTACTGCACACAAAAGACCAGCTAATGACACCCATCAACCACAGGGACAGATAATCTCCCCTCCTTATCAAAACAATACATCCACAACAAAACACATTAATCAACCATCTCCTGATTAGGACAATAGCCTACCTCACAAACTAGCCTTCTCACAGCCACAAATACTCCACCCACACTCAAGCCTACCCAGAGCACAGTTTGCTGTCCTCTGAAGATGCCGGCCACAGAGACTGGCGAAACGTTAGGAAGAACCACTTTCAGAACACGGCCAAGAAGCCCGAAAAACCCACAACAACCACTATTCCATTTTTATTGCATCCAGGAACCTGTTATTGTTTGGACCCGAACACTTTGAGCTCAATAAGCAGAAGAAAATTGATAATGAACTGAACTTAGCCAAGATAGGTTTTGATAGTTTGATAGAATGTACTGTTTGTGTGCTGTCAAGTCATTTCTGACTTACGGTGACCCTTTTCAGAAGCGGTTTGACATTTCTTTCTTCTGGAGGCATTCTGGGGCTGTGCAGCTTGCACAGGCTGGCTCTTCTGGAATGCACACTGGGGAACTGAATTCTCAACCTCTGACTATATAGCCAGATATCTAAACCTCTGAGCTATACAGCCAACCAGTTGTTATAGGCTTCCTGTGTAGGAGCATATATCCCTTAAAAGACTGATTTATTATGTGACTGAGTTCTTTTGGTGGCTGCCATTACTATGGATACATTTTACTAGCTATGATGAATGCATTGAATTATTGCAATGGGCTGTGTGTGGTACTTTCATTGAGAACAGTTCAAAAGCTTCGGGTGGCAGAGAACTTAGTGCTAGTTTTTAGTGTCCATGGACTATGGGCAGCATTTTGTTCCTAATCTGTTCATTTGTGTTACCATTTTGATCCTGGGCCCTAATCAAAGTGCTGGATTTAGCCTTAAAGCTCCAAAGAGACAAGAGTCCTGCATACAAGAGGGAACTCCCTCCTTTCTTTTCCATGTGTAGCTGTGAGAATGGCTAGAGAAGCTCTGTTGACAGCTTGTTCTTCTAGTAGCTTAAGGCAACGAGGGTCTGGAACACAGGGTGTTGTTGCTGGTTGCTAAGAGACTGAGGAAGCCTTTTGGATACCATGAACTGAAGACCTGCATATGCTGATAGGCTTTTATATCTGTCCTGGGCTGCAACTATGAAGTATTTGCTCTGTGTGTGTTTCCCCCCCCCCCACTTAATATTTCCATTTTTAATTATAGGACTCTCATTGTTACTTTTCAGACTGTTGTACTAAACTACATGGCAGTGTATGATTAATCTGAAGAGCAATAAGTGGTATTGGAAGCAAAACATTATGACTGGTAAAAAAAAAAGACGATGAGATGTTCAAAAGGGTTGATATTTTCCCCTCCATTTATACAAATGTATCAGCTAATCTTGAGAACTTTGGTACTTTTGTTTTATTAGCAGCACTACATTTCTTTGTTGTTTTGTCTTGTTTGCAGCTGTCTCCAATCTAGATGAAGAGAGTAGATGGACTGTCCATTACACGGCGCCCTGGCATCAGCAGGAGAATGTGTTTCTACCTTCTTCAAGGCCAGCTTGTGTGGAGGATCTGCATCGTCAAGCCAAGCTGAATCTGAAGTCAGTACTAAGAGGTAAGAATCTGACAGAAATGACACTTGATAATAAGATGATTTTTTTTTACAATAGCAAGAGCATGCCTCTATCTTCCTTTGTCTCCTTGTGTTTTTTTCTGTCTTTTCTAAGAAACTGAAGGAAAGAAATCAGTTCAGTTTTGAAAGATCAATTAATGTTGAATTTATGGATCTTGGCATAAGTGTGGAGTTTTACTCATCCTGCCCTGAAGAAATACAGTATATCTCTACAGATCTTGCTTATTATTCTGTACTGACACAATAACATTCTCACAAGACCCAAGAGAAGAATGGAGGAGAAAGTTCGAATAGTTATGCTAGAAGTCAGTTTCTGCTTATGGGCGCTTTTCAGTGCACTATCTGAAACATATAGGTCTAGATTATTTGAAGTAAACATCATGTGACCTAGTAACCTGCAAAAGTTATGTCTTGTGAAGAAGAAATGTGAAATATAAATGAGTAACATTCATTCATTCATTCATTCATTCATTCATTCATTCATTCATTCATTCATTCATTCATTCATTCATTCATTCGACTTGTATTCCACCCACACTCTGCAAGAAACATAACACTTTTAATAAAACTATATTTAATTTTATATCACTAGCATTGTTTGACAGAAGAACCAATTCATGTGTTTTATTTTTAAAACACAAGATATGTTCATGTGATATCACTTTGCACCCCAAGACACATGACAGTGTTGTGTAAGACAGAACTAGTATAAGGAGAGAAAAACTTTTTTGCAAAACTGTATTTTCTGTCACTAAGAACTGAGAAATTCAGAAACTCTCCTTTTGCATAAAAATGTCCTTTGCAACCATAAACCTGGGAGTGTTGGTTTTATTAAATCTTTACTTGGCTTAGACTGGGAAAAGTTTACTTTTCATCACTTTGAAATGTCCAAATCATTTGTGCAAGTCTGTATTTTAGCAACAATGCTGACAGAATAGCATCAGTTCTATCAAACACAGCTGTCTCTTCATGTAGCTGTACTAATTTACGAAGCTGGTATTGCCCATTGGAGTGTCTGGCTGTGGAGCCAAGGATTAGGAGTTTAAATGCCCACTGTGCCATCCAAAAAAGGGGACAGTCAAGGTCACTTGCACAGTTACCTGTGCAGCCTTGTGCAAGTTGCACAGTCCAGAGTGCCACCAGAAGGAGGGACTGGTAAATCACTTCTGAATACTTTCAAATGAACCCTTAGGAATGGTGTGATTGGAAATGGAGCTGAAGCAGCATTAGAAATATGGAGAGGGACAGGTTGCCAGTGGCACCTTTCCTTCTGAGGCAAACACGCCAAGGTGTTAAAATTAAAGACATTAAACATGTATTGATAGTTTAAAAATACAAGACAAGAGTTTCCAGTTATGGCTATTTATTGTAACAGTAGCTGGAATATGGTTTCAGTTTTAACCTTCATGCAGCTTTACATTTTAGAAAAAGTACAAGAGACGTCAATTTTTTTATTCCTATTTGTTTGTTTGCTTATTTACCCTGCCTTTCTCCTAAAAAAGGACCCAAGGTGGTTTTCATAATTAAAAATACAATGTTAGAAACTAAAAACACTAAATTACTCAAATATTAAAAATGAATTCAATAAACATTACTGTATATTAAATATAGTAGGTAAAAGCATTAGTAAAACAGATTTTAAAGAACAAAAATCCAAACTATCCCATTAAAAAAACCAACAACCATTCTCTTAGACAGCCACACACAAAGGAAAAGCCTCCCCGAAGAGAAAGGTCCTCACCTGCTTGCAGAAGGACAGCAAAGATGGAGCCAGCCTGGCCTTCTATGGAAGGGAGTTCCAGAGTATGGAAACAGCAACAGAGAAGGCCCTCTCCCACACCTGTGAATGTGGTGGGATCGAGAAAAGCCTCCCCTGATTATCTTAACACGAATAGCGACAGAGAAGGCCCTCTCCCGCACCTGTGAAGGTAGTGGGATCGAGAAAAGCCTCCCCCGATTATCTTAACACCCAGGAATGCTCATAAAGTGAGATGGAGTCTTTGAGATAGCTTGGACACAAGGGCTTTTATAGGTTAAAACCAGCACTTGGAAACAGATCTTCAACCAGGGGTGCTTCTGTGACAGATGGGTTATTATAGGTTAAAGCCAGCACTTGGAAACAGATCTTTGGCCAGGGGTGCTTCTGTGACAGATGGGTTATATATATAGTCTTTGCTATTATGTGTTACAGTAAATACTGGTGTCAATATTGATCCTGCATCATCATTGGCCACTGGGATTATTGCTGCAGGTCCCCAGTATCCTTGGTGATTCATTAGTTCCATTGGTTTATAGCGGCATTGGATTTATAGCCTGGGATTGGAGTCCTGGGTCCAGCTTCAGTCTAAGCAAGAATCATCTAAGTGCTTCAATTAAATCTGAAAGGCCATCTGGTTAAGTATGTAAAATAAAACTGACTCTCTTGCATGTTTCCTTAATCTCAACTGGAAAACAACATGTTTTTATTTGGGCTTGGTTTTAGTGATTTAATTGGATCAATAAGCAAATGAGAAATATGGGCCATCTCTCACTGGTGGTTATTATGCTGTGGTGATTACTGTATTAATCATATGTTCAGTTAAAGGGCTGTTAAAAAGAGCCATTTAATAGAACAACATTTTTAGATTACAGTGATAATGATAAATGAGCTCCCTTGCCAGCTTAAAATATTAGAGTGAAGTTAAATCCAGTAGTAGCTGCCATAGTTCAACTAAGCTGCCAGGTTTCCAGAGAGAGAAGTAAAATCATGCCTCTTTGGTTGTTTTTGTTTCGTAGTAGCTATACTTGTTTGTTCTCCGTTCTTTGTAACTCCTTGAGGCTGTTTAAACTCTATGTATCAACGGTTTTGGCATGTTTACATCCTTCAGATTATTTTCTGGAGAACTGGACAAGGCAAATAGGGGAGAATATATTTTGTGCATATTGATTTTCTGTGCCATGCTGAAAAACGAAGTCTACACATTGCAAAAGTGTCTAGACTGGGAGGGGGAGGGGAAATCTGAGGATAACAGGTCACATGTAGCCTCCCATCCATTTTTGCATTTCGCCAATGTCTACCCTCTCTCACTCAAAAAAAAAAAGGTTAAAAAACAAAGAGAATACAGGAAATGTGAGTCTTGCATAAAACAAGGCATGGGGTTGTGCAAGTTTTCCTGTTGCCTACCTAGAAGGCCTCCAGAGCACAGGATTGGGGGTACCATTTGCAGGCAATTCCATTTTCAGTTTTTGGCATTGGCAGCATGTGACGGACAGCAATTTCAGAAGAAGGATTGCCCCTGGTCTCACCAGCCCTGACCACCTCTGATCTAGGCAGTAAATAAATAGTGCAAAATGCACATTAGGTGTAATGCCATATTAATAGGTATGTTGTTTTAAGAGTGATATCTAGGTATTTAAATTCTTTAGATGTGATCTTCGTTCAGGGCACTTTTGAATAATTCACATTAATACGTGAAATGTTGAGCTCCTCACTACTGAAGCATGGCCAGGCAGAAAGCAAGATTTTTGTTGCAGAATTTTGGATTTCTAGTCCAGTTCTTCTAACTTTGCAACAAAAGTGCAGGGATTCACAGCACAGAATAGCTTCAGGTCCCCCAATTTAGTTCACCTCTTTTTCCCATCAACTGGGCAGAATAGCTTCGGGTCCCCCAGTTTAGTTCACCTCTTTTTCCCATCAACTGGCACTTATAAGTCACATTGAGACATTGCTGTAGTTAGAGAAAGAATAAATTGTTTTCATTCATATACAATTGAATGGATCAAACATCAAACTGACAAAAAAGAGGAACTGCTTTTGAGCAAAAGGTGTCAACAGGCCTTGTTTGCTTCCGGCAATCTAAATCAAAAGAAAAAAGAAGCTCTTAGCAGAGAGGCACGGCTCTCTTTGAATTCAGAGGCAGGGCATGAACTGTTGATTAATGCTGGATAGATTAACAGTCACCCCAGCCCCAGAAAGATCTCCCCCAGCCACACCTACTAAAGGCAGCATGTGAGGTTGCAATAAGTCTAAAAGTCTGTGTCTGAACCGAGGAGGTCAACTAGTGAGAGGAAAGCCCCTTCCTTCCACTGGAACTGGAAGGAAGACTTCGGTCTTATATTTCATATGACCTGCTCCCCTTCAGTAGGGCTCCAGTTTGCTTTCCTGCCTTGTGGACTGAGACATGTTTGTTTCTAGTTCCTACTGTGATAGAAGAATCATTTTTTAAAAAAATGCATGCACACCCTTCAAACCATTGGACAGTACTACAGTGCTGCGCAAGGATGTGAGTCAGGTATTCATCCTTTTGGTGTACAGGAGGATGTTCCAGTTGCTACCCTTTTATATCTGTATCTTCTCTCTGCTGCCACTTGCTCCCATCTTTGGCCATTAGGAGATACTGGCAAAACATTGCATGAAGACTAGGAGGAAGAGCTGTGAAGTCCTGTGACAGGCAAATGGTTGTTAACCCTTTTCTTGACATGGAAGCCACAGCAACCACCCATCATATCCTCCTTTCCAGCTCCAGCACAGTAGATAACCAGAGTCTGCTTCAAAGAGGAACATTGAGTAGTGCTTGTATCAGGCTGGTTGGCACAGTGTGAGGTTAAACAGCCCCCACCCTCTTCTCTGTTCTCCTCCTCCTCTTCTTTGGAATAGAAGGAACTTCAGAGGTTTTTAGAGCAGCCATTAAAAGGGAGAAACCATGCGATGCACCTGAGGAAGACCAAAAGCTTTAAAAAGTCCCCAGCTAAAACCTGAAGGCGACTAGAGGGGGGGGGGTCCCACTTGGAGACACAGCAGAACTTGTTCTTGCACCCACAGCAAGTGCTGTAATATGGGGCACCATGGGTGATAAGGCCCATATTTAAAATGCAGGTATGCTTATTCAAGAAGAGCCCATTTATCACCTCCACCAGAAAAGGATGGTTTGGGTACAGAGTTCAGGTTTTGGTCATGCCTCTCACAGCACCATCTCCTGTGTGAATGAGACAGTCTTTTGCCT